GGAGGAGGCGGGCGGCGGCGCCTTGGGGTCTGGCCTGGGGCCTGGCCTCTTGCTCCCGCAGCGCCCGGCCCGGCCGGTACTGATGGGCCTCTGCTCCCGCGCCAGGCAGCGGCCAGCATTTGTTCTGGGGCAGGGACTGACTCCCTATTGCATTTCTGTCGGACCTCCCCGTTAGGTGAAGCTGTGCTGGCTTCCTGCCACAGGGCAGGCGCTCCTCGTGAATCCGGTGCAGGCAAGGTAGCGATCCGGAGCGAATGCCGGTGCCAGCGCAACGTCGAGCCATCGGCATCTTGGAGACAAACCTGAGCCTGCAGAATAAGTCGATAACGTCAGTTGTTTTCTGTTGTGATTTCGTGAGTTTTCTGTCTGGTATTTGGGAAGCTTAAATCAGTGTAATTTCAAGTAGCATGTATTTGACCATATATTGACAAAAGTGTTTATTTGAAAGGCAGTGCTTTCTGACCCGCATGGTTTTTTGACAAAGTTACTTTGACCAGTTTCTGTACCTGATTTATCATATAGATCTGCAAATAGCTTATTGGCACAGCAGAGAGTAAGGGGAGGGGAAAATAATGATGTAAAAAGAAGAAAATTACACTGGCAGCTCTTAAGCTAGTGCAGTTGCTGCAAGAGGTACTTGTTAAACTCCACTCATGTTGCCTGTAAGTCTGTGGGTATGTTTTATGGTATATTGGAGGTATGCCATCCAGGCTTATTTATAATGCCATTGAAACGTGTTTTAGAAGGTGGCCAAATTCAGAGGAAAGTGTAACTGCAAATTTAACTGTGAGACAAACTGCATGTTGAGTTACACTTTTTTCCCCACTGTTAACATCATTTGCCAGGTCAAAAAGAGCAAGCAAATTCATGCCGTATGACAGAAAGCGCCCTTTACCTCACGTAGTCAGTTAAAACATGTGCCGGGTTTCTCTTGTGAAAATTCAGAATCTAGCATGGCAGGAGGCCTGAATTCCCCAAATTTTGACTTCTAGAAGAAACACAGCATGGTTATTTATTTTAAATAATATCTCCAGCAGCCAGAGGAAAACTAAAGAATTAAGAGTAACAGCAGTAAGCAGGCCCATAATTCACAACAGGAGACTATAAAAATGAAACACTGTCATGAAGTATATGCCATGCTCTCACAGAAACTTGCTGACTTCGTCCCATAATTTCTTCTAACGGCACATGTTAGAATCCCATGTGCATTTTCATCACTCTTCTTCCCTTATATGTAAACAAAAGTGGAATATCTCACTGCTTCCCTTTAACTGTCAATAGGGAATTTTGGATGACAACCTAGCCACTTCCTCTTTTGCTCTTCCACTGCCTCTTAGCCCTGGGGGTATTTCTGATGACTTAATGCCACAAACACAAATAGAATATTGTGATCTAAAATGAAAAGCAAATCTGGTTACTTGCTTGCCTTAAAATAGCAGAACAGGGATGAAGGCATATGAAATATAAGCAGAATTACAAGTTTGCAAAAAGCCCAAGAAAATTGTTATCCGTGTTCTAGCAGAATGGGTAACTTAATGTTACTGGCTTTAGATGCAAAGGAAAATACAGTGAGTCATTAGATCTGTTTCGGTGATGAATTCCAAAATTTGTATGCTATCTATAATTCAGGTGCACCATGAAATACTTTTGCACTATTAAAGCTATTTTTTTTCCTGCTTTCTTACCCTGCAAAAGAAGTCAAGATACCTCCTTTTCTAAAGGCAGATGTCACTGCTTAGAGAACACCACAGAACATAAGAGTAGTACCCTTTGTAATTCATCCATAGTGGTTTGTTGATGTGTCGCACTGAGGAGAAGAGCTTATTAGAGGACTATTACATGAATAAACCTTCATGGAAAGACTAAAAGGCAATCAGACTACAAAAGACTTTCAGGATGATTCTGTTTCTCTCCATTCTTTGAAAGAGGACGACATACAATTCCCATTTCTAAATGTACTGAGATCTATTTTAAGAGTAGTTTAAAAAAATGTTTTCAAGCATTTACAAAAATACGGGATCGCAGTTCTGCACTTTCAAAATTAAGGAAATCATTGCAACAGAGTAGTGGGATTTTTACTGACTCCTTCAGAATGTTTTTGATTTAAGAAATTAAATATTTAGTAGAACAGATGTTTCCAGAGCAGAAAATTTAAATGCAAGTCCTTCCAACTCTCTGGAAGCATGCATATGAGAAAGGTATTGTACAAGTGACATCTGGACATGAACCACATCTCAGGAAATCTCTCTGACTAGAACCTCATTGTGCAAGAGCCAACAGTTAATAGCAATTAGAAGGTGAGAGCGCATAATGACTGGGGTCTGGTACAGGCCCGTTGAAATCAATTAAGAGGTTTCCTCAACCTGCTGATGGCTAGGGACCTTCAAGCTATGGACAGAAGTTAGAAAAAACTAGCTTTTCAGTTATGAGAACCTAGTATTTTGTAACTAGACTCCTATATCTGAAAGATGGTAGCGACTTTGATTGCTACTCCTCTGCAAGGTACAGGAGCCAAAAAGAACTGGTTTGAGAGGCACATAAAGCTAACAGCATCTGTCTGCTTCACAGCAGCCACCCTGCGCATCACTTAGCCTCCATCTAGAAGCTCTCTCAAAGCAGATTTGTAGAGATCACTGCACATACACTGACTTGGGCAGTTACAGCTACAATTAACACTTCTACTAAATAGGTTTATGAAGACTAAAGCCCACAAAGAAAACATGCTTACGCTTCACTCTCCTTCAATTTAAGCCCATCTGTGCTACATACGAATGCTGCAGCCATTCACCTTGTTTTGACAGGGATGAATTAAAGCTAAGCCAGGGTCTCTAACTCATATTGACATTAGCAGCTTGAATAAGCCAGCTGCCCACTCTGCCTGCCTTGGAAGAGCAGGGAGCAATTCACACGTTCAGACAATCAAGCTGGAGACACAAGTTTATTGCTACAACACCCAGGAGAGGCTAGCCTTTAAATATATGTAGTCCTCATCTCTGGAAGGAAGGCAGTTGTTTCCTCAGAGAGACACCTTGGGAAGCACTGACTCACCAGCTAGGTGAGAGGGCTTGAAGGGTCTCACCCTTACTTCATATCCATTTTTGCAAATGTGTCTTCTGCTACAAGGCCTCCAGTACCACAGCAAGCCAACCCTGCTTTCAATTTACCATGCTGATTTGTTGCCATGAGAATTTAACTGTATGGAGTAAAGAGGAGATGCTGCTGGTAGTGTCTGCTATGTTAAACACAAACGTCCCAAGGTAAGAGGTGCAGCTGCTTTCCAAAGTACACCCAGAAGTAGAAGGTAAAGTAAGAAATGTACCTACGACTAATAAACGTGGTACAGTGCTTCTACTTTTTGTTGCTATTACAGCTGTATGTCTAATCATCACAGCAGTGCTTGGTATTCAAGCAGAAGATAGAGATTGTTCCTTGCCTAAGGGAAGCACAGAGCTGCACAAAGATGAACAGAGCAGAGGGACAGACTGTCAGAGCAGAACAGTAGTAAGTAATATGACAGGAGATCAGGAAGGAGTGGTATAAAGAGGCAGGTTTGCAAATATGGGGACAAGATACTTAAAATAATAAGAATTGCAGAAGAAGCAACGCCATGAAGGTAAAGTCTTGGGAACATGAGATTGTGAAACCTCATTTTGAATGGATTGAGTGGGGCTAAAGAACCCAGAGAAGAGAAGAACATGCAATGTAGAGATTTTTATAAGGACTTAGACGTTAAGGGTGGATTTTTTATCAAAAGAAGTGGCAAGTGAGTCACAGAATTGCTTAGGCTGGTTAGTCCAACCTGCTTGCTGAAGCAGGGTCAGCAAGAGCAGGCTTCCCACGACTGTCTCCAGTCTGGTTTTGAGTATTCTCCACAGATTAAGACTGTACAACCTCTCTGGGCAACCTGTTCCAGTGTTTGACCACCCTCACAGTAAAAAAAGTGTTTTCTTGTGTTCAGATTGAATTTCTTTTTTTTTAATTTATTTTTAATTTGTGTGCATTGGCTGCTGTCCTGTCACTGGGCACTACTGAAAAGAGCCTGGCTCCCTCTTCATTTTCTCCCCTCAGGTAGCCATCACACTCCTATCCCCCCCCGAGCCATCACTTCTCCAGGGTAAACAGTCCCAGCTCTGTGCCTCTCCTCATATGAAAGATGCTTCAGCCCCTTAATCATCTGTGTGGTCCTGCCCTGGACTCACTCCAGTATGTCCATGTCTTTCTTGTACAGTGGGCCCAAAACTGGATTCAGCACTCCAGATGAGTGTCAAGGATCACTTTCCTTGACATGCTGGCAATGGTCTTCCTAATGCAGTCCAGGATGCTGTTGGCTTTCTTCATCGTGAGGGCATATTGCTGGTGGATGGTCAGCTTCTTGTCCCCAAGGACCCCAAAGTCCTTCTTTGCAGAGCTACTCCAGCTGCTCAGCCCCCAGCATGTACTGATGCCTGGAGTTATTCTTACCCCAATGTAAGACTGCATTTCCCAATAACGAGAGAATGTGCTTAAAGGGTCCATTTAGTTCTTGCTACAAAACCCATTAATTATCAGGAAGAGAAGAAAAAATTACCTATTTGCGGGCATTTCCGGAACACATTTGCAAGTCAGCTGATTGATTCCCCTTTTCAGGTTGAAGGCTCATTACCAGGAGGAAAAAAAAATCTTACCGTGTAGAACAGCTGAAGCCTGTAAGAAGCCCCAAATCCCTGGCCTATTAAATTTGTTTAATCTACTCTCTTCTGGCATCCATGCTAACAAGGAAGATGACTGATGTCATTATGAGGTCACTCAATCGTCTTTGAAAGGACATGGCAATTGGGAGAGTTCCTTAAGACTGGAAGAGAGCAATTGTCATTCGTATCTTCAAGAACAAGTTCACAGAAAAACCTTTTGAATTCTTCACTAGTGAAAGATAACACAGACGTCCTGATTCCGCAAAGCAGTGACATGTATGTGTAGTGATCTGGCCTGTTATTCCTGCAGTGACACTGACTGCTAATGTTGCACTAGAAGCAGCTGCTTTACATGGCATCTCTGTCAGCTTCAGCCACATGTAAGCAAAACATGTAAGCTCAAAAGAATAAGCAAAACCCTCATCATTAAATCTTACATCCTCTTTCTGGCCTCCTAAGATCATTACAGAGTCAATTAATGACCCCTTCCCCTGGAAAAGAAAGCAGTCTTCAAGCATGTTCTTGCTTCCTGTCACTCAAAATCATTTCCATCTGAGCCAGAGGGACAGAATGACTGTTGAGCATCAGCATGTCATGGCTGGTAGCCACCAGTGTGTTG